TCAATTGAAGAATGGATGAAGAAAGTATGGAATATATACATATTAGAGTACTACTCAGCAGTAAAAAACAAGGACTTCTTGAAGTTTGCAGGCAAATGGATGGAAATAGAAAACACTATCCTGAGTGAGGTAAGCCAGACCCAAAAAGAGGAACATGGGATGTACTCACTCATATTTAGTAATGTCACTTTTAACTAGAAAATACAGTGTAATTTCAACAGGTGAGGAAACCTTCAACTATGTGAAAATTTGAGAATGCCCTCTAGTGGAAATTTAGGTGAATAACAGGGCAGAGAAAAGAAAAAACTCAGAGGAATGAAAAAGGATCAAGAAGAGAACATTCAAACTCAACTAAGAAAAAAGGCAAACGGGACAAATGGGCTAAATACACAAACAGGTAATTTGAGGAGAAAAAATAAATACAGATGATTTGTACATTTAAGAAAAGTTAATGATGTGAGAACCACAAATTAAAAGTACATTCCAACACAATTTCTCTAAGAATTTACAGATCTGATAACTCAGAATACTAGACAGGCTACAGGCCACCTGGAACCCTATATGATGCTTGTAAGAGTGTAAATTGTAATAACTTCTAATATGACTAATTGAAGAATATTTAATAAAGCAGGATGGGTATATAACTCACAATTTGACTCATAAATGTCCCTCTAGTACAATGGTTCTCAACCTTCCTAATGCTGCGACCCTTTAATGCAATTCCTCATGCTGTGGGGATCCCCAATCATAAAATTAGTTCTGTTGCTACTTCATAACTTAATATTGCTATTGTTATGAATCATAATGTTAACATCTATGTTTTGTGATGGCCTTAGGTGACCCCTGTGAGAACCACTGCCCGATCCAGTAGATAATCTAAAGATACAAAGTCTTAGTATGGAACCAAGAAAAGAATAACCAAGACCTACAAACAACCTAGCAAGAAATGATTATAAACCTACAAATATGAATTCAGAATAAATATTGATATGGCCTAAAACAAATCCTAGCTTTGTACAAGAATTGGAGATCATTACTTTACAATCTGTATCAACCAATATGCTTTTAATCGCCACACTCTGGTCCTTGGGTCTCCTCGAAAATCACTGAAAATGAGAAAAAACAGCTGTCCCCATGGGCGGGTGTTGACAAGTTCTTCCTGATCATCTAAGGTTCTTAGTTCCACATCCCAACCTGCATCAAAACAGATCAAACTGCCTGACAGTCTGCCGCCTTTGTCCTCAGCAGCTACATCAGTGGCAAGAGCCCCACTGATGAGCTAACAGTACTGAGAACTAACTACAGAGCCTCCCCTAGACCACCTCCTTTCTTACAGTACCCTTTCCAGGTAGGAGCCAAGACCATACAGATGAACAAACAGGCCTCTTCTCGGGCTCTAAACCTAACAACTAACACCATCTAATGCTTGTGGCCAATGACTCAAATTTGTAATGAAGTTTAAAATAATAAACATGCCAATATTGTGTTCAGACTGAAGGCTGAACTTTAAAGTGAGACTAATTCCTTAATATTATTTAGGCAAGTGTTCTAAATATGCTCTCAGAAAAAGGGATTGCTGGAATGACCCCGTTAAACGTGGGCAAACTTAAATGTAAGTGGAAAGATGATTTTCATTCAAATCAGAGTCAAAGTCAGAGAAAAGCCCTGTGTGGGAGAACGCAGACGCTAAAGGTCTGAGATGATGATGTCATACTGATGACTCATCAATGAGTCACAGGCTCATTGATATCATTTCTACTTAGCATTCTGCTGCTTAATTGTCCTATCAAGCAGTTGGCTTGGTAACTAACTGTTCTCAACAAATTTCCTGCTTGACCAAGATAAAACATTGGTGACCAAATAAACTTCATGTCCATATGTGCTGGATTGGCTGAGAGGAAGGAGCCTCGGTTGAGGAAATGCCTCCATGAGATGCAGCTGTCAGGCATTTTCTCAATCACTGATGAATGGACGTTGGTGGACCCAGCCCACGGTGAGTTGTGCCATCCCTGGGCTGGCAGGCCCGGGTTCTATAAAAAAGCAGGCTGAACCTGCAGCCACAGTATGGTGTCGTCAGGTCCTGGGTTGCTGCCAAGGGCCAAGACCCTACTGCAGTTGCAGTCCGGGTTGGTGTCTGTGGCTCCTGTTACCACTGCAGACGGCGAGGATGGGGCTGCAGAGTTGGCTCTGCCCCTCATTGGCTGTTTCCCTTCACCAGCTGCGCCACACTCAGGAGAGCGGACCCTACACCTCACCTGGGCAAAACAGTAGAGCTGTCCCTGTGAGCAGGGGTGTGGATGAGCCAGCCCTGAAGGCAGGAGAGCGGGAGAACGAGCCGCTGTCTGTCACGTGGTAGCATGGGCAAGGGAGAGCTACTGCCCTCACACACACCCAGAGCGGCACAAAAATGCACCTGTTCTTACATAGAAAACCACAGAGGTTCTTTCATTTTCCGCCATCATCTCACACCCCTTCCCTTCTCATTAGCAGATCTCTCTTTGGTTCACTTGCTAATTTTAGCGGGGGTGGGCGGGAGTGTAAGGCTGAGACGGGGCCTTACTATATATAACCTGGGCCGGCTCAAACTGGCAATAATCCTCCTGCCTCAGCCTCCAAAATGCTGAGATTTCAGGTATGGGCTACCATGCCCAGCTTTGCTTTATTATTATTTTTAATAAAATAAATAGAATCAACAGACACTCAAAGGGTCCTGGTCAAGGTCACACTGCTGGTGTGACAGCCAGGCTCTCAAGGCCACCCACTCAGTCACCCACCACTCTGCTGGGCGAGAAGAAGTCACGCCTACTTCTCCTCTTTTCACACCTGTGAGTCCTAGCGCGTCACCCCTAAGAAGTGGCTAAAGAAATGAAGAGTAGTTTACTCCCAAACTGCTCAACTCAGCCCGCCTCTGTTTCTGCCTCTGATTGGTAGCTTCTCTGGCCTCCTTTCACCTAAACTCGACAAAACTGTTTCTCACCTTTCCTGTTAAGCCCACTACAATCATCTGAGTAGGAATCTAAGAAGTTAAGACAATTGCCGTGACGGTGTGAGCATACACTCTGGTTTCTAACTGTCATTGCAAGAGGGCCAGCTTTAACTAAGAGTGACCCCAGTGGGCGGTCTAGTGATGTCAAAGGGGAACTGGCTCCCAAAAGAACAACTTTCCTTTCTTCTCATGGGAGGGTTTATCTAACTGGACATCTGTGTTTCTCAGCTGTCCTTTTCCTACACAGTCCTTCATGTAAATTTTCATATAATTAAAAATTAATACATAAAATTACAACTATTAAATTTCCACACACCTGATGACTAAGTGGGGTTTATGATCATAAAGAAAAGAAAATGCTTCTCTAGGACTCCAAAACCCAGACTTTGGGTCAGACATACTGAGTTTTACTCACTTAACAATCAGGGAAAGCATGAGGGAACTGAGAGGTAAAGACAAAGAGGCAAGAATGGCGGCGTGGTTCTGCGTCAGGAATGAGGTCTTGGCATCACACAGGCCTTGACCTCCTTGTTTTTCCCTTCACAATCCCAGACTTCTAACATTGAGTTCCGTAAGCAATGTAATTCAACTTACCTATTAGATTTATTAAAAATAAAACACATCCTGTCATATAGAAACATATATAAAAGCATATGAAAGGGTTGGTGAGATAAAGATTTGCTGAGGGTTTTTCGGGCAATGGCTCAGCCCACAAGAGAGATGCGCTCAAAGGTCAACTGTCAACCTTCTACATCCCTGGCTCTAAGAACCTGAGTAAAGACTACATACATGGTTTGAAGTAAAGTTTACTGAAACAATTGAATGCCACATTAAAGGATTTAAATTCACAAATCTCGAAACTGGTATGTTCTAGGAACTAATTTAAATCCAGGGAGTTCACAGGATTTACCACGCGATGTCTTTAGAAGACATAAAAGTTGAGCATTGTAACAGGAATGTTACCTGAGGGAAGGCCCCGTAGTTCCATATATAGCCCTTGTGAGGGAAGATATTTGGTATAAAGCGTAGCTTTCCGCTCTTTACATCTTGCTTAATGGGATTCATTGGCTCCTCAGTGGAAATCTAGGCAGATCAAAAGGGAAGGCAGGGGGGGGGGGGCGACATGATTAGCGCTGTGTACAATGAACAGATTTTACATCTACCATAGCACAACCAAACACTCACATCCCAGCTTAATGATCAAAGGCTTTAATGAGAATTAAGTCAATTCTTATTACCAATTACCAAGTATCATGTCTGGGAAGAAGACACCTGATTACATATTTAGGCTCAAATTATTTTCACACTGCATTGTTTCTAACAAAAACAGTAAGACGGATGGAAAGACAGGAGGGTAAAAGTTAGTATTTTTGCTGGCATTGCTGCTAATCTTGGGGCTTTTACTGTCAATAGTCTTATGACATTGTAGTTAACTCAAAGGTGTTTACCTAGATGGTGAACATCTAGAAAGATGGCCTCCAGGTTAAGGGAGCTTGCTCTCCAATTCTATGAACCAGAGTTCAGATACCAAGCCATGCAATAACCCAGTTCTGTAAAAACACTGAGAACCCAGCTCTGGGTACAGTGAAGATAGGAAGACCACTGGGGTTCGCTGACTCCCAGTGTAAAGGAGACACCGCCTCAGGGCACACGTGGGAAATGATAGAGCGGTACACCCAACACCCTCTCTGTCCTCTGTAGCTCCTGCACTCTGACACCCCGGACACACACACAGACACACACACACAGAGGAATGCACGTGTGCACACACCCTCACAGGCACGCATGCAAACAAGATGGAAAGCTTTTTGGATAGGACTGTGGCCTTGCCACTTTGATTCAGCATAATGTTGGAGGTCCTTGCCAGAGTAGTTAGGCAAGGGGGACAAAAAAGGGCATCCAAACAGGGAAAGAAGGACAAAAGTCATCAGTGCTTAGTGGCAATATAAATAATACAAATATGTATGTAGAAAGCACTGAAGGTTTTACATACACACACAGAGAGAGAGAGAGAGAGAGAGAGAGAGAGAGAGAGAGAGAGAGAGAGAGAGAGAGAGAATTACTAAATGAATATAGTAAATTTGCAGGATATAAAACTAATACAGAAACCCCACAGCATTTCTGTATACCACCAATGAACTGTTCAAAGCAGAAATAGAGACTATCCTATTTACAATAAAACAATATAACTCAGAGCACTTGGGAATAAACTTAATGGAGGAAGAAAAAGATTTGTTTCTACTGAAAACTGTAAGTTGATGATGGAAAAAAATCAAAGGAGACACAAATAAAGGGAAAGACATCCAGCACTGGCTTGAAGGAGCATGATTCTGGGTCACTGCCATCCACAGTGAAGGCCCAGAGTCATTTAAAAAGAACAGAAATAGGAAGAGCAAACCTTGAGGTTTCCATGGAAACACACACACACACAAATCATAAACAGCTATAGCAAATATGAACAAAAAGAAAAAGCAGCACACTATTGATTCCCAACCACACTACAAAGCCACAGTAACACAGTCAGATGGAAATTTGCAAAAGCCAAGCTCAGACACACAGACAGGAGGGACCGAGTCCAAGCGATTTTCAGCAGAGGGGCCGGTCACACACGACAGGAAAAGAGCACTCTCCTTAAGAAACTGTCCTGGGCAAACAGAACAAGCATATGTGTGGGGAAACCACAGGAAAATGGATGCCTGAGATATAAGGCAGAAGCTGCAAAACCGCTACCCAAAAAAAAAAAAAAAAAAAAAAAAAAAAAAAAAAAAAAAAAAAAAAAAAAAAAAAAAAAAAAAAAAAAAAAAAAAAAAACAGGAGAAAAGGACAAACTGGACAACTGTTGGGATCTGACCACAAAACCACAGGCAATATAAGCAAAAGGAGACAAATGGGATTATATCAAATTAAATGGTTTCTGCAGAGCAAGGGAAACAACAGAATAAAGACACGATATACATCGTGGGAGAAAATGTGTTTCAAATCGTGTATCTGACAAGGGTTTAAAAGTCAAAATATATAAGAAACTAAATATAATAGCTAAACAGAAAAACACAAAAACTACAATTAATTGGGCAGTAGATGTATTTATCAAGAAGATACACAAATGATCAATGAGAATAAGAAAAAAGAAACACAGTCAGCATAACTATCAGGAATATTCTAGTCAAAACAATGATGAGGAGGTCAGCAAGACTGGTCAGACAGCGAAGGCATGTGATGCTGAAGCCTAAGCTTGGGTACCAAGTACATCACACCGTGCAGGGAAAGAACCAACTCCCAAGGGTTGTCTAACCATTTACACACACATAAGTGCTTAATAACAACAACAAAATACCACAGTGGGGGTTCACCTCACTCTAGTAAGAGAGACTATTACCAGAAAGACTACAGATACCAAGTGCTTAGTAGAAAAACAGAGAAGGAAAGCCTTGTAACTGTTGACAGAGGAAAGCTTTGTACACTGTTGAGGGAGTCTAGTCTTGCACACAGCTGAGGGAATAGAAATTAGGACAGCCATCTTAGAAAACAGCATCAAAGTTCTCTAGGAAACTGAAAACAGAACTGACCAAGCAAGCGTTCCAAATACACAGCCAAAGGAGAGGACGTTAGTAGGCTAACTTGGCACCTCGCTGTTCACAACAGCCAAGGGATGGACACAGGCTTCACAAACTGACGAATGGACAAAGAAAACAGGCTCCGCAGTTGATCTCTGAGAGCTGGAGAACCAAACAGTGGCTACCAAAGGCACGAGAGAGCAGGAGGCGAGAAAGGATGGAGAAGCTTGGCCTGTGGGTAGAGGAGCGAGAGGCTCTGGTGCCTCTGCAGTGTGGGGACAACTGCCAACAACACCGTGTGTTTCAAAAGGTAAAAGGGACCTGGACAGTGGCCACTGTGGAAATGATGCATTTTTACATACAGATGAGTTTAACATGATTCAAACATATATCCATCTACTTAAGCATAACATGGCATCACGATTATGTTTTTATGTTATAGTTAATAATTAAATAGAATTAAAATAAAATTTAAAAACAGAACAAAATAATAATGAAAATCAACGAGTATACAAGTTTTAAACAATAGTTTGTTATGTTTCATTTTGAGACCTGCTGTGCAAGGTGGTGAACACACTTACTAGTGTATTATACATTTCAGAACTGCAAAGGAAGTAAAAATTTCATATGGCCTCACCAGAGACTTCAGATTATATGTTCACTTAACTTAATTTTTATATTATATTCATAAATCATTTTTGTACTCTGCAAATATATATTGCTCATTTACAGTATTTTTTTTAAAAAACCAAGCTCAGATCTTTGTCAAGTGACTCCATTTTAGAGCAATTTTCTGTCAAACATATATTCACATTAGTATTGAAAAAGGACAAAAACCAATCTGATATAAAATAAACAAGCTAAACAGTGAAGGAAAGAAACCAAGCACCCACTTGAGAATTCACTCCAAACTGTAAAGGACCCATCTGATGGGAGAAGACAGCAACCACGGACATGAAGAGGGATTCTCGACAGCTTTGTCTTCCATGGAAATGATTAAAATAAAGTTTTTAAAAAGACTTAACAAGGGCAGAAGTAGGTGCTCTCAGATAAGATCCACAAACTCGGGAGAAGGCACTGTTCCCAGGCAACATAAAACTCTAAAGGACTAAGTCCCCAGAAACTGAAATTGCCACCAGCGCCAAAGTGTTTCGTTTGTGTCTGCGAACTAAAAACAGAGCGGAGTCTGAGTGAGACTTGAAAGTATTCACAATCGTGTCAAGGAAGGGCAAAGAAAATTACATGAATGCGTGCCTAAAAAACGGGGAAACACTCTTTAAAGCGAATCTGCAGTTCAAACCATTTTCTTCTTAAAATTAAGGTCTGTCTGGGTTCACAAGAATATTTTAAATTATCTCCTACAAAGAGAAGTCTTTCAACCCTCCTCCAAATACACCAAGCGGGAAAAGATGCTTTCATATAATTAAGTTAGCATTTCAATTTTGCGCTAATAGAATATATCTGTACCTCCATTTTGGCATTTGTCCACCGAGGTATTTCCACAACCATATTAAACAAATTCTGTTGAAAAAAAAAAAAAAGAAACAGAATATTAACATATTTCTTCACCTTTTATTTTCTTTTCACGTGGCCCTGGGGACTGCATGCTTGTATGTTAAATGAAAACCAGCACAGCCTCTGATGAGAGACTAGCACAAGCTCCCATCCCACAGAAAAACCGCTCAGTGCCTGCCTTCTACATCCACCCATCCGCCCATGCTAGAAACCCCTTCTTACAGTTAGAGAGACCACCTAACCTGGTGCCACACATCTGGCCACCGCTGCACAGCACAGAAGGGCACTGAACATCTGGAAGCACTTTTCAGAGCAGTGATGACACTGGGAGTCAGGAGACAAGCTCTCTCTCATTTATCTGATTTGAGGCCGAGACTTACCATGTAACTCTGGCTAGCCTAGAACTTGATATCCAGGCTGGCCTTAAATAGACAGGGATCTACCTGCCTCTGTCACTGAAGTATGAGGATTAACGACATACACCACCACCCGGCAGAAAATGAGTTTTGATAGTTATTGTCCAGCTAAAATAGTACAACCCACCTCTTCCGCTCTACTCATGGCAATGTGGTTAAAATATTGTTATGTGATTTACAGGAATGCATACAGAAAGTTAAGTAGTCAAAATGTTGAAAATGATTAAAAGGATATTTGTATACATGCTATGATCATAACATAAAAATCAATTATCTCTATAGGCAGTTAGAAAGTATACAAGGAGTTAGACATGCCTTTCTAAAATGAGGCTAGTGATTTCAGATTCCTTAACTTTACAAAGGAACATGGCTTCTTTTTTCACTGCTTAACTAGGTCAGTGGTAGGTAATACAATTCCCACAGCCTTCCTCACAAAGAGAAAGTCTTACTGTTCAAAGGTGGCTTACAAAAAGGTAAGGATACTATGTTTACATCAATAATGTATCACGGCTCCTGGGGAAACAATGGTTTAAAACACCACTTGTCAAAGCACCGCCCAAGTCCCAGACCAAGCCGTCATTTAGACACACATGTAGTTAACTGACAATACTCTGTAGATCTACTGAATCTAATAATAAAAAAAAAATGGGCATTCTAAATATGTCCATCCACAAGATACTCCCACATCCCACACAGAAGGCTTGGGGACAACCACAGATGAGCAAACAGGAAGACTGGAAGCAGCAGAGAATCGGGGAGATTGCTGTGTGATGGTGTCTCCTAGTAATGTTAGAAGCTACACACATATAAAGGCTCACCAATATAACCACCCAAATGTGAGCTGAACAAGAGCTACACCAATGGATATAGCAAAGAGGTGGGGGGGGGGGTACCACAAGGCCTACGCAAAGAACTACAGGCAAACGAGAAAAGCTGGGGACAGGACAGGTGTCCCTTCCCAGGGAAGAGCACACCAATTGGTTGTCCAATGTCAAATGGTCAGCCCTGAACACAAACACACATGTAATACTTAGATGGACGGAACAGGTTATATTTAGAATTATGCAGGGATATACATATACACAGATGTATTCAGTAGCAATTAATGAAAGAAGAGGCAAAACTTTGAAGTGGGAGTGTGGAATAGGATTAAGGGAGGGTTTGGAGGAAGAAAAAGGGAGGAAGAAATGTTAACTATACTCTCAAAAATTAACAAAGGGGTAAAAATAATTAGAGCTTGAATTATACATGTCCTCACTCATTTTGAGTGTGTTTTTTAAAAGTATTCAGCTACAATGGATACAAACAAAAAGATAGTCTTGTACTACAGAATATTAGGAAAGCAAAAGTTTAATATACCTCCCCACACACATATATACATCACTGGCTGAGCTTTAACAAACAAACCCACAAAAACAAAACCATGAAAGACTCCTTAGGGCCCCACTGCCCACCTTTTCAATTCGACTGGTCTGGGGTAAAGCCAGGGAATTGCTAACTTTTAAAAGTTCTCTGGGGAATTTGAATATAAAGTCCTAGCAGTATAATATTAGAGCATTGCCCGCCCACATTCTGGGACTTTCTTGGAGAAACACCAGTGCTACTAACTCAAAGAATGCCACTTAGCAGCCACGGCTTTTTTGTTAGAATTTTCTAGAGAAGGCAAGGGTTTTCTGAAAGGTAAGCGTGAGGTAAACAAAGCTGAGCAGGACACCTCACACCTGCAGGACGACCTCACACCTGCAGGACGACCTCACACCTGCAGGACACCTCACACCTGCAGGACACCTCACACTGCTCTGCTCTGTCTCCTCCCCTATGCTCCTTCATGAGAGAGACCCCTGTGCCTGTTTAAACATGTCTGAAAAGGCGGGAAAGAGCAAAGCCTAAGTATATGGCTGATGTTTACATGATTCATTCAACTTTGAAAGTCTGGCTATAAGAGAACAAACACAGATGGACGAATACAAGGTGATGACAGAGGGGACCAGGCTAGTTAACGGCTGCACAGCGACACCGCCAAAGCCTCTTGCACAGATCTGAACCGGGCTCAGAGAGCAAAAGATGAGGAACCGGCCTGAAACCTTAGCTTGCAAGCCAAGCTCTGGGTCACCATTTGCACTTGATGACCAGGGGCTCACGCTGCCTCGCCCTTCTCTCCCGCTGCAGTGTGCTCTGGCTGGAGTTGATCAAAGCCAGGACCAGTCTTATTTTCCCAAGATTAGCTTTAGTAATAAGGCAACAATTGCTACCAGCATTTATCAGAAAATCAATCTAACCCGTCTTTTCGCTTTTCGTTCTTTTTTTTTTTAATTTTTCCCTGTGGGGAGGGGGATAAGATAATAGGTAAATATAAATCAGTCCCCAACATATAATCTTTGTTACAAGCATTAAATTTCGAGATGACACTCAGAACTTGGAATATATCTTTCTCCCTTGGAAAGGGGGTTTCAGACTAAAATACCACGTCTCTGGGAACTACAGAGCCGCGCATGCGCGCGTGCTGCCTCCCGTGGAGAGCAGGGGTTCTTCATCACCCTGGAAGTGTGCTTGCTAAGACACAGACTGACCAAACCCCATCGAGCAGAGACTCTGATCAGTAGAGACAGAGAAGGCTCCAGAATCTAAATTCCCAAGGAGGAGCACTACAAGGGGTTCCAGTGTGGACAGTTCATCTGACGGCTGTTTTAGCAAAACAAGCTGGACGCCAGGCCATCGCTATAGGAATTTACCAGCTACGCAGGAAAGTGGTGGACTCAAAGGATGGGGACAATAATCTCAGCTACTGGAATAAGACCACAGAGGCCAACGGTAGCATGGAAACCGTCACCTGGAACAAGAGATGAGCAAAGACCCAATCAAATGCTTTGGTCCTAAGTGGTAAAATAGAGCTGCTGGAACTTGTTCTTCTGCTTCCAAACAACTGCTGTGCCTTGATTCTAAAAGATGGCTCAGTGGGAAAGGGCACACTTACATACATGTTAGAAAAGGGTAAAGCGCCTCTGAAGCTACAGTCTCTGTTTTGATCTAAAAAGCAAACAAACTGGGGCAGGAAAGATGGCTCAGTGGGAAAGGGCACACTTACATACATGTTAGAAAAGGATAAAAAAGTAAATTTTATGTTATGAATAGTTCAACACAATAAAAAGGGTTAAACGATGCTATTGCCCCAGATGCTAGGAGAAAAACAGCAGATCTACAGGAAGGTCTTGCAGGGGGAGAATTAGAAGCAGTTGAGAAACACTAACTATCACCAAGGTCATTGACAGACAGTTTGAAAGTGACTCAAGAGACTGGAAAAATGGCTCTGTCGTTAAAAGTCTTGCTGCTGTCCCAGAGCACCCAAGTGGGGTTCTGAGCACCCAAGCCAGATGGCTCACAGCCACCGGAAGTGCCAGCTGAACAGGATCTGGCATCCTCTCTGGCCCCTACACGTACCCACCTGCGTGCGTGTGCACATACAGACACAAACACACACACATGCATACAATAAAATTTAAAAAATGATTCTGGCAATGAAAACTTCAAAAGATACCTTATATTCATCATTTCGTGCTTTCTTTCTGGAAATGCCATTTTCCTGTAAGAGCAAAGATGGTAATTATGATTGGAACATCTCATAAAAGAATGCAGGGTGCAGAGCCCAGCAACAAAAATCTGTGTACTGCCTACAAGTCCTACTTTCTGCTGTCCAGAAATCTGACTGAGCAGACAACCTGCCAGTAACCCTGTCCCTCAGCACGCCCAGCCTCGAACGAACAGAGGACCAAAATGTTTTAACAATAACTTATCTGAAAATCCAGAGCTCTTTCACGGCGCTTCCCAAGTCTGCCTGATGCAAGCACAGACCCTGCCGAGTGTGTAGGGAGAGCCTGACGTGTTCCAGTGACTGCGCCTCCAACAGTCATTTCATTATCGGAATGAAGCTCCCGGGAGCTTGGCTAACAAGCTGTGAAAGTGCTTGGCTGTACCTCCTGCCTGGGAATTCTATCAAGGTGTGATTACTAAGCCCCCACTAAGACTGCGTGGTGGGAAAAAAAGACTATGCCGGTAACAAACGTTCACAGGGTGTATGCAACACACACCAAGATGACTGCTAAGGAAGAAACAAAATAAAGAGACAATGATGATTCCAAGTCACGCTGTCCTGAAACACTGCTCTTGTTCTGAAAACTCTACATCCCAAGACTCAAGGTGCAAAAATCCTAACCATGATTGGCTCCAAAGTAGGGAAACCTGTGTCTCCATCTTTGCCCTTCTGGAACACTGATCTTTTGCCTTATACTCTGTCCTGCCTCATCCTCAAAATCCATAGGCAGAACATCACAGCCACAGGTGTGTGGTATTGTTATGAGAGATACACATTTGCTACGGCGAACCCCAGATGAGACACTACATATCCGGCCATTCCTCTTCCTACATTCTTCTTTCCGGTATTCAACACTGACTGGCTTCTTCACCATTGCACACCCAGGGCCACAAACAGCATGTGGCAGAGAATAAGCGTGCAAGGCTTATATTTATCAAATGGATGAACAAACGCAAGCACACTTTCGGTGTTGGGAAGGCGAGAGGGATTTGAGAGTTCACAACTCCTTGAACTTCTGATGTGCACTGAGGCAACAGGCTGAACACTAGATCTAAACTTAAGCCCATCTCACAACAGTCGACATTTGAGACCAAGGGACCTCGGCAAGAAGGAAGTTAGTAACAGTAGGCGCCATCAGAAGTACAACAACACGTGGCAAACAGCGAGCAATTGCCTAGAGGCACCCAAACTTCAGGCCCCTCATCTCCCCCTTCAGCAGTGGTTCTCACAGCCCCACTTCACCAACATCCTTCCGACTGTCAAGTGGTTTTCCAGAGAAAAGCTCATGAAACACGAGGTTTTTCCAGATTTACAGTTCTGTCTCGTGGAGTGGTAACCGGGTAGGACCTCTGTGGTCAGGAAGGCCAGATCCAGACTTGGCTCTGGCACCTGCCAGCAGTGCAGTGCTATGGAAACCAATGCGATGCCTGCTGCCGCACGGCCCTTGGATGGCTTCTGGCAACTTAGTATGGGATAAAGAAAATAAAATGCTCACATAGCGGCTAGCACACAGAAGTCACCTGCAAACATTAACCGTTTTATGATTCAAAATAAGCAGGTTAATTTCCCACATCACTACTCTTGAATCTTCGTTTCCACCAAAGACTGAACTTCATAGACCGCAAATAGCCCCCTTTCCCTAGCTTCTCACAAAGTTTAATTCACAAAAGAAGCTGACAGCCCTGCTCCAGCTCCTTGGTTTCTCCTCCTGCCAGCCCAGCACATCTCTACTTTCAGGACATTTCTCCACGGGAATTTTCGGGCCAAAAGTGGAGCATCATTTTCGTCCTGTCATGTACAAGAAGTTTTCCAACCCCCAAACAAGTAAAAATGATACCTGAGGAGAATCCACCTTCAGAGGAATGTCATGGAAAGGGGAAATGTAGTGACCAGCTACATTCTCTGCAAAGGGAAAAGCAACAGAATTACAGCCGTGCACACCTGCTCTGTTTAGCAGTAAGGTCCTGATCTACTGTGGAACTTGTATGCTTTTAGCAATGCTAACTTTACACCTTAAAATTTTAAGTCAACTTTGAAAACTTGGTCTAGCCTGAAGAGAAAAAAATAAATGGCAATTACCCGCACTCAGTTGCTGAAATCATTTAATTCACTATTGTGCTTGGCTTCAAATACCTGGTGTAGAAAATATCTAAGGTAGTGTAGAAAATATCTAAGGTAGACTAACACTCCAAGTAGGAGACATCTGACTGTGGGAAAGAGACTCATTAGTAAGTGAATTAGCCCAAACTGATAATCATTTCCTTAGGAGAAAACTAACAGTATAATCCACAGTTTCCACCTACAACCCACAGGAAGAAAGGTCCAGCTCAAATAACGAATAAAATGGTCACAAAACAGCTGACTGAACAACACATAGCTAAATTCTGAGTTCGGCTCACTAAAAGCAGAGGTGTACAACTTAGTAACGATGCTATCATATTAAACTGCCATTCCCTCCTCTGCCCTCCAGGCCAGGAGCACTCAGCACCAGGCTAAATTCCGAGGGAAAGGGTTTTGGTTGGCTCTTGGTTTTGTCTGTTTTGTTATACTTTCTAGCATCTAGCTGGCATTCAGTAGTTATCAAATAAAAAACTCGTTACCGGTCCACTTCTCCCCCTTTCTAAGCGCCCCGGGCACCAAGGTACCTCTCGCAAGAGTGGGACGGGAAAGAGAACACTCATCAGTGTTTGCTTGGGGTTGTGTTGTTTTTGCTTTTCTGACGCTGGTGTTTTCCTTGCAGCATATATGTATACCATGTGCGTTCTTGGTGCCTGCAGAGCCCAGCAGAGGGCGTCAGATCCCCTGAACTGGAGTTATGGATATTTGTAAGCTACCAAATGAGTGCTGAGAAGTAAACCTGGGTCCTCTGCAAGAGCAACAAGTGTTTCTAACCAATGAGCCATCTCCCCACCACGCCATTAATGTTAAAATAGTCAAATTCTCATGTTTCTGATTTCTGCTTACTAAGTCTCCTTACATTAATCCATTTGGTAGTTATTCACGGAACACATGTGCTTTTCCAAACACCATTCTATGTGCCAGGAATACACACTCTAATTTCCTGGTCTTGTGCACATTATATTTTAGCGGGAGACAGACGTGATGAATATGTATAAGCTGTAGCAGGAAGGGCAAACACTAGAAAGCACATCAGGGCAAGGAAAGAGAGGATGCTGGTGGCTTTGCACGGCCAGTAGGTGTCTCTCACACAAGCAGTGCGCCAGCAACAGCCTGGAGGAAGCAAGGAAGAGGAGAACGTCACAGATGAGATGATGAGAAACAGCAAGGAAGCCAGCCAGGCAGGGATGCAACAATTGAAGGCAAAAGGACAGTTGGCAGTGAAGTGAGGGGCAATAGCTGTGGTCACTAATTTTCACATCTGTTTAGAAAGAACCGTGCATCCTAGCTTAGTTTTTCAATTCCTTTTGAGTAAAATAGCAAGAACACTTTTACTTGAACTGAGATTTTTAAAATCTTATCATTGGTACACAAAGCCGGCCAAAGGGAAGGAATCAGGAGGCTTCTGCAACCGACCAGCTGCGGTGGATGGTGACATGGGTGATGTGGCAAGGATGGAGGTGGTCAGGAAAAAAAATTATTCTACGTGCATTTCAAAAGTTGAGCTGAATATGTCCCAAGTGGATATGACTGCCCAGACGTAGGACAAAGGAAAGAGAAGGAACAAGTAGGTTATAGGGCAAGGAGAGTAGAGAGGTCAGCTAAATACACATCACTGCAGTTACACCAGGCACCACAGAAATCTAGTGACCACGGCTAAGAAAATGGAGCACATACTTCCCGACAGCTACACAAGAGGCTTCCAGTGTTCTTGCTACAGACAAACAATAAATATTTGAGGCAATGAATATGCTAATTCCGTTTACTTGATCAAAACAGATAGACATGTTAAGCATAGGCAAGTGACCAAGATTTCATGTGTGGTGAATGTAATATGCTCTATAGTAAAGGAGAAATATCGGGTGTGAAGATGGCCGTGGGAATCCTGTCTTCAAAACTTGAGACTAACGGTGCAAGCCTAGGACTTACTGGTGACCCCTACACTGAGGCACATAGTAGGTCCACCCAGAGCCATAGCATAGTCCATTAACACTGGCTGCCGATGTCTGGGTGCCAAAACGCAGCGCTGAGCAGTTATGACAGAGATGGATAGTTTACGTGGCCTAAAATAGCTCCCTCTCATCCTTTACCAACTCCTCGGGAGAGAGACAGTGTAGAGACATGGGCTAAGCATTGACTCCTGAGGCTTTCAAAGGTTAGTTCAGAAATAAGAGTAGGGTCATACAAAGGACAATATAAAGAAAGTTATCAAAATACCTGTTACCAGTTTTGAGAGTCACATTCTCTCTCTCTCTCTCTCTCTCTCTCTCTCTCTCTCTCTCTCTCTCTCTCCCTCTCCCTCTCCCTCTCCCTCTCCCTCTCCCTCTCCCTCTCCCTCTTCCTCCCTCTCATCTATCTCAGTGTGCCCACAAAGCCCAAAGCTCTACAAAACAGCTTAGCATCCTCCTGACTCCACCCCTCTGACATACTCACTTAAGCTACCTCATCACAGAAACACATCTCTGGGGGAAACAACGCTGTGCACTCTAGAGCTCTGGAGGCTTCTCTCTTGTCTACCGACTGCCCTTTCTTGCTATGACTTTAATATGGTGTTTATGAGAAAGCGGACAAGATCTATGGCCGCAGCCACCACATTTGGTCTTGGTGCCGGTAAGGCTGCAGCCCTAGACAAAACAAATGAATCCCGTCGGGCTTGTCAGTGTGCCAGCCTTCCAGCCTCACAACTTCCCCCTCCGACGGCTCTAGAACTACTGTTCATCTTATCATTCTGGAAGTTTCTACGGTTTTGCTGTCTCCATTGCTGAAAATGTACTTGCAATTGAGAAAACCAAATAGACTGTGGGACCCTTACCTAATACTGATAACATTATGATATTATATAACACAATTTTCTATAACATGTGATAGAATTATGTAATATATTATGCATGCCTTATAATTATATATCATAACATTATGCTATTATTATAACATTTATACACCAAATAGCTATATTCATACCAAACACCAACATACACAATATCACATTTACAGAGATTCTCACTGGAAGCTTAATAACAAAACAAAAATGAGTTTTGCATTACTTTTAATAAGATTAAAAAACTTGAAAGACGAGTTTCAATGAAAATATACTCTCGTCTTCATATAAATAGCACGATTTCTATTTTACAGCTCTGCACTCAGAAAAACTAAACTGTCTTAAGGTTCTAAAGACTTAACGTCAAATAAATATAACTTTTAAATGTTTACCTAGAAGCTATTATTTAAATGTATTGATTCAATTTACAGAAACTTATTTGTAGGAAGTTTTCCCAAGTTCAAACATGTAACCACCCACTACAGACACGATGTAATAAGAAACGTACAGTAATTTCCGTCCTTATTTACAAAGAAAGAAAGAAAATGAGAAATAAATCACATTAACAAATATCTGTATGACTCGATCCTAGAATAAATAAAAGTAACTTCAATTATATCCAACGCTGTTTCCTAAAGTGAATCGCCTTCTACCACATGCCAACAAGAGTCCAAATGATGGAAAGTATGGGTTTTCCCCTGTTCTTTAAGAAAACCTTAAAATCTAAAATAAGTAACTTCAAGTTACCACCACCAACAAAAACCACTCACAGTATCAAAGGGAGCAGACAGGCGGGGCTACACTTGTAAATCCTGTGTAAGCAAGCTGACTCATTACTGCAAGACTGCAAGGCTACACCCACGACAATCTGAAAGCTCCAAGTGTCCAAATATTCAGTCTTACCATTCTATTACTCCATGGAATGTAACAGAAAGAATGTCTTCTTCATCACTCTGCGGGACAATGTGACATCAGGTGTGGTGCCACCCACTCACAATACCGTTTCCTTCAGTATCGCTCCGACTGGTCAGGGTCTTTGAGTCTCCCCATAAATTTTTGGATTTTTTTTTTCACATCAAAATAACATAATTTGTATGTGCTTCTTCATAGAATTTGTATGACCATATGGAATTTCCTTCTTGCTTTGTTGTTGTTTCTTTCTTTCTTTCTTTCTTTCTTTCTTTCTTTCTTTCTTTCTTTCTTTCTTAAAGATTTCTGTCTCTTCCCCACAGCCGCCTCCCCTTTCCCTCCCCCTCCCCCAGCCAAGTCCCTCTCCCTCGTCAGCCCAAAGAGCCATCAGGGTAACACTGGAATACTGACTGGAACGACACTGGCTCTGTGGTTTGCTTTTGGTAGGGTGGTTATTTTAACGGTTTCTTTTTCTGCTAATCCTTGAGCATAGGCTGTCTTTCCATTTTCTTGTGGCTCAATTCCTTCTTCAGTGTCCTAAAATATCCATTACAGAGGCCTTCTGTCTCCTTGGTTAGGTTAATTTCCAGGTGTGTGTGTGTGTCTACTGCAAATAGAATTGTTTCTCTAATTGTTTTCCTTTTTTGGTATGTTTGTCATTGGTAAATAAGAAGGCTACTTTTTTGTGTGTTAATTTTGTATCTAGCCACTTTGCTAAAATTATTTATTAGCTCTTAAAATTTTTCAAATTAAGAGCAGCATGGCACTGACCCCAAAACAAACAAACGGATTAAGGGAATGGGATCAAAGACTCAGATATAAGCACACACAACTACATTTACCTGAGTCTTGACAAAGATGCCAACAATACACATTGGGCAAAGGCAAGATCTTCAACTAATGATACTAGGAAAACTGGACTTAACACACAGAAAGATGTAATTAGATCCGTATCTCTCATCATGCACAAAACAGGACTGGGACCTCGGCATTCAGGCCTGAAACTGCTGCAGGAAGAAGTTGGGGTGAACTTCAACTCACAGGCACGGGGTGGGGT